TTTGATTTGAATTATTTATGCAATTTACTTTATATTTGATTCATCTTGATTCGATTATATTTTTTTTTTATTTTAAATATTTATGAAATACAATTGAGTGTTTCTTTTTTCTTAATTTCGAAAATGTTTTTGATGAATGAAGTAGGTCAAATACATGTTTGCAATTTGCAATATCATTTTATTTAATTTTTTGTTTTGAAACTGGTTATGTTATGGGATTTTCCGTACCGTTTCCGTCTTATCCCGTTCTATCCCGTTCCCGTCCCGAATTTTAAATGGGATACAAATGGGACATATTTTTCTAGTTCCAAAAATTCCGTTATCGTCCCGTTCCTGTGAAATCCCGTCCCATATTCCCGTTTGCCCACCCCTACCCCTTACTATTAAAAGAGAAGTAGAATTAGTGAGAATGCTTATTTGTTTTAATTTAATTGGAGGAAAATGATGACATGTCTTTAAAAAAAGATGACATGCCTTAAATCTCTAACTAATACTTTAACACAAATGGAATTACAATAATAAATTTCAAAAATTATAATTTCTATTTCGAAAATTTGTTTAAATTTAACAACCATTCCAAAATTTATTTTCTTTTAAAAAAATATTATTCTGATTTTTTCAAATAAAATACTAAGAACAATTCTCATATCTTTTTTTTTAAATTAACCACCAACTTGAAAATTTTCAAAAAATTAATAACGAATAGAAAATTGTAAAAACATTATCAACAACTTTATATAAAAAATATTATAATAAATTTTGTAGTCGCCTAATATAATACTCAATTTTGTATAAAAATTATATTTACATAACATATAACAAATTAGTGGCTATAGAAAATCAATCCTCATATAAATGATAAGATGTTATATTTCAAAAGATAATAYCYATAAACATRAAATATTMMAAATAGATTCTAYCACYATCAAAATCTATAAACAATTKYTGAAAATATTTTTGTTARGCGGTCATTTTAAATAGTTAAAATATTATTTTATTATTTTTAAATAAGTGTTTACAACAAAAATAATAACATTAGGTTGTTCAGTCTTGAGCTAAAGTCAATCAAAGATTTTTAGTGAATCTTTCATGCGACTCAATCAAAGTAATAATTTAATTTTTTAGCCCATCTATGACTTTTGGTTTTTTTTTTGTTTCCGTGTGTATTATGTTCTTAAGTTTTGCATGTCTCTTGATTTTAAGTTTTAATTGTTTAGATTTTTATGCAGTTTTTTACATTTAGTTGTCTTTTTACTAGCTAAAACTAATTTGATTTTTGTTATAACTTAT